CCGTGGCATCTACCGCTGCGAGAGCCTGCACGACCGCACGCAGGCCAGGCTCTGCGTGGAGCGTGAGTACCGCGCTGGGGACGGGGATGGGGACAGGGATGGACACGGGGATGAGGATGGGAGAGCAGCAGCCTTCTGCAAGGATGCTGCAGGGGGGAGGAGGGAGCATGTGCAGAGCTGGTACTTGGCTGGAAGGGGTGGTCAAGCAGGGAGGTGAGCGTGGGGGTCAAGGATGGGCAGGGGTGGACACCTGGTAAAAAGGGCTGGATTTAGAGGATCGGTGCAGCAAGCACAGACGGGGGAGCTGGGGTCTCAGGGGTGGAGCAGGCACCCGTTCATGGACATGGGTCCCTTGCAGCCCGGAAGGTGTTGATCCGGACACCACTGGCAGACGTGGAGACCTTTGAGAAGGAGACAGCCACCTTCCACCTGGAGCTGTCTCACCCCAGCGTGCCTGGGGTCTGGACACGGGACGGCATCCGGGTGAAGCCTAGCGGCACGTGCCGGATCAGCGCCACGGGCTGCGGGCACAGCCTGACGCTGGAGGGGCTGGCGCTGGAGGACTCGGGCACCATCACCTTCACCACTGACACACTGCGTTGCAGTGCCCGCCTGCTTGTGCGGGGTATGGTCAGCGGGGCAGGCTCGGGGCGCTGCCCGTCCTGCAGCCATTTGGTCCCGGGGGAGATGCCAGGGCTGAGCTGGGCCACTCCGGGCAGATGCTGGCAGGTGTCCCCCTGTCCCCAGGGAGGAGAAGTGAGCTCAGCAGTGGGGACCCCCCCGGCCAGGGTCTGGGTCCAGAGCCAGCTGGGACACCCGTGATGAGCGCTTGCCCGTGGTAGCGCCCTGGGAAGTGCCACTCTCACCCCATGCTGAGATGCCCTGGGCACAGCTCCCCATCCCCACAGCCTCAAGCCCATGTCTTTCCCCTACCAAACTTCCCTGCCCTGTGTCCTCTCCCCTCAGAGCCTCCAGTCACGATGGTGAGGGTCCCACGGGACCTGGGGGTCCTGGAGATGGGGGTTGCCAGCTTCGAGTGCGAGCTGTCGCGCCCCAGCGTGGAGGTGAAGTGGTTGAAGGTGAGGGTTCGCCCCGATCCCCTCCAGCACCGCCCACCTGCATCCTCCTCCCTGCTTTACCCCCTGGCCACTGCCCTCCCTGCCGGGGCTGCTGGCAGGGGAGGTAGGGGCAAAGCAGCAGGGTGCTGCCTGCTTGCACCCTTGAGCACACGATTCCCGGGCAGGATGGTCAGGAGCTGCGGCCAGGGCCCAACTGCCGCATCTACTCGGCGGGGCGGCGCCGCATCCTGCCGCTGAGCCGCTGCGCGCTGGCCCGAGCCCG